TAATTCTTCAGCTCTACTCCGTGCTGATTAGGCCTCAGCTGGAGTATTGTGTCCAGTTCTGGGTGCCGCATTTCAGGAAAGATGTGGACAAATTGGAGAAAGTCCAGAGAAGAGCAACAAAAATGATTAAAGGTCTAGAAAACATGATCTATGAGGGAAGATTGAAAAAACTGGATTTGTTTAGTCTGGAGAAGAGAAGACTGAGAGGTGACATAAGTTTTCAAGTTCATAAAAGGTTGTTACAAGGAGTAGGGAGATAAATTGTTCTCCTTAATCTCTGAGGATAGGACAAGAAGCAATGGGCTTAAATTGAAACAAGGGTCAGGGTAGTTAAGCACTGAAATAGAATTGCCCAGGGAGGTTGTGGAATCTCCATCCTTGGAGATTTTTAAGAGCAGGTTAGACAGACACCTGTCAGGGATGGTCTAGATAATACTTAGTCCTGCCGTGGGTGCAGGGAACTGGATTAGACCTCTTGAGGTCCCTTCCAGTCCTACGATTCTATTTTATACTCTTGTTTTGTTAAATGAGATGAGTTTGTTCATTGACGTACTCAGGTGGAAGAGATGAAAGCTACTTTCTGAATGTAGTCTTGTAATAGTTGTTGGTTTAATTTGCTTTAAAATATATTTTCTGAACAAAACTTCAAACTCACAAATCCTTATTTAGAATTTACTTTTAGAAACCGGTTACAAGAAAGTTAACTATTTGATCTCTTTAAGGACACGGTCTCCTTGAAATCTAGTCAATTATAAAAGACTAAATAGTATCAGGTACTATGTGTCCCCTCAGTCCTCCTACTGGCTTTATAATTGCAGCCTGTTATAAAAGCACATTTTTATTTTAAAACATTTGTACTCTTGCTGAATGAGATGCGCAAAGGACAGATTCTTGTTTGGGTGCATCCAGGGCAAACAGTAAAATGGTATGCAAACTGGGAAAAAAGAGAAATATATATTCTGTAATCTTGAGTGTTACATGTAACTGGAATAGGTATACTGTTTTCACAAGTAACTTTTTTTAATGTTAGGTTTCAGAGTAGCAGCCGTGTTAGTCTGTATCTGCAAAAAGAACAGGAGTACTTTGGGCACCTTAGAGACTAACAAATTTATTTGAGCATAAGCTTTCGTGGGCTACAGCCCACTTCATCAGAGACATAGAATGGAACATATAGTAAGAAATATATATACATACAGAGCACATGAAAAGGTGGAAGTAGCCATACCAACTGTAAGAGGCTAATTAATTAAGATTATCAGCAGGAGAAAAATCATTTTTGTAGTGTTAATCAAGATGGCCCATTTTAGACAGTTGACAAGAAGGTGTGAGGATACTTAACATGGGTAAATAGATTCAATATGTGTAATGACCCAGCCACTGTCTCTATTCAAATCCAAGTTAATAGTTCCTAGTTTGCATATTAATTCAAGCTCAGCCGTTTCTCGTTGGAGTCTGTTTTGACAATGCACTAAAAGATGTGAAAGAGCAAAGCCGACAGAATATAAACCAAATGTACTGTTAAATCAGACTTAAGTGAAAGTGGTGTGTATTGCTCATGACCCAGTACAAACATTATGAAACCTTTAGAACTATTAGTTATGTAAAAAACCTGTCATTCTTGCTCACTACTAGAACTTTACATTGACTTATCATATGATTCCTATTTGGTCTTAAAGTAAAATAAAGCAGAATTCATACCCTAATATATAAACTGGTAATGTGTCACTTTGATGCTGAATTACCAGATAGAGAAAACAATAACATTTTAAAACATTATGTGGAATAGCAACATCTACTGGTAGCTGTTGGTAGTTGCATAAAATAATAGTTTTTGGAGGATAGTAGAAAATAACAAAAAATAGAGAACTGTGGTTGATTCTGCCATTGTTCAACAGAATGCTGTGGATGGTCTAGTTTTTCAGTAAACTATTTTATTCTGTTTTTGATATTGAAAAAACAAATACTATGCTTCATAATTACAGCACCAACACAAAACACCTAAAACTGGTAAAAATCCATTTGAATTTCCCCACAATTTATGGGCTTTTTAATAACTTCCATTAATAAGTTAATTATTAAGTAGGGTGAGTAGTACAAAAATATTAAGGCAAATTAATCCCTTGGAGTAGGGAGATGAGACTCATATACTGCAACACCTGCTTACACAAGAATTAATTTTGTCCAGTGTAGATATTGTCACTCTGCAGTAACATTTATATGAAGGAACCACTAGCATGGGAGAATGCTGTGAAAGTAAATGTTAGCAATTCAATATTCAGCCACAAATATTTTGCATATGTAGTTGTTTGTAATTATTACACCAATCACATTCAAATTGCATAGTGAAACAAAATATTAAAATGTTCCCTTGAGCTGGATGGAGGCAACCATGAATTTTATAAAATGGATTAAAAATATCTAGAACACTTGCAATAGGTAGTGCTTGACTTATTAATGAACAAATTCTTAAATATACACACATACATGCAGATCAAGTGTCACTGAATTATTAATTTGATTTTAAAAAGATAACCATTTTGTGAAACTGAAGACTAATCTGAGCAGAACTCCTTGTTTTTCAGTTGTTCACTAACCATTTAACATTCTTAACTTCAGTATTTCAGTTCAGTTGTGATTTTTATTTTGCATGACTGACCATAGTGGCATGCAGAGTTGCAGCCTCTTGCAGAACGCTTCAGGGTAAAAAAGCCTTAGCGCTGGATCGAACTCTTAGCTCAGTGGTTTGAGCGTTGGCCTGCTAAACCCAGGGTTGTGAGCTCAATCCTTGAGGGGGCCATGTAGGGATCTGGGGCAAAAATCTATCTGGGGATTGGTCCTGCTTTGAGCAGCGGGTTGGACTAGATGACCTCCTGAGGTCCCTTCTAACCCTGATATTCTATGATTCTTACCCCCAGTATGTGACTACAGTTTACCAATGGTCAGAGTTTATATGTTCACTATCCAGAGGTTTAATTGGCTATAATAAATAGCAGTTGCACAATACAATCTGCATCCACACTATCATGCCACTGATGCTTGGTCACTCTTTTTCTCATATACCATGGAACAATTAAGTTCAATAATTGCTTTCATATATGGGGGTGGGGGAGAGAACAGATCACTAGTCAGTGCAAAAGAAAAAAGTGGATGCGGATGTGCTCTTATTTGAACAGTAATCATGCAGTAATGCAACTTGTGACATCTGTTGCACATAAGAAATGGGTTATTGTGCAGATGAAGTCATACAAATTATTTTACTCAGTCCTTTCACTTCTCATTTTTAAAGGTTTAGATTATGCTAAGGTATCCTCAAGCCTATGTTGCTATTCACAGATATATTCAATGATTGCATACAGTCACAGTCATAATTATTGAATCCAGAACTTCAATTCTCTTGTTTGGGAGAGGGCATCTACCCTTGCACTGGAGGAAGGCATTGAAAACTATGGGGGGCAGATGCAAATTTTTGAATATGTGCCTCAACAGTTTCAACTTCCCCATCACTGGTTCCTCTCCTTCTCCCCTCTTGGGATTTCAAGGACATGGGTTTAATTCCTGCAAAGACCTAAATCTGCTCCTCTGCCAGCAAGTCCTGAGCACAGCTTTCCTGTGGCGTTTTGTCTTCAGAATAGTCACAGTCAATGGTACTAGAGAGTCACATAGGTCTCAAGAAATAGGAAGACATGCTAGATCTCAGGCTTTGCAAGGAGGGTGCTTTCTCCTTTCAGGGCCTAGCCAAGAGACTCGCTCCCCAGAAAAACTGAGTAGGGACAAAATAAAGCTCCACACACCAACTGCTTCTTGTCCTATTGTGCTGGAGCAGCTGTACTGATTTCCAAGGGGCTAGGGTTGGGCTAAGGGGCTGCAGTTCATATCCAGTATGTGATTTCCCATCTTGGGCAGCAATGAAACTGTAAAGACTGATTTAAGTATACAGTCCCCAACAATAGTGCACTCAGTTTAAGGCACTGGACCTATGACTGTGAGTCAAACCCAGTTAAATCAAAAAATGGTAGTATAATCTAAAAATGAAAAGGCTGTGAAAGTAAAATATGTAAGGTTTTTGTTACAATTTTGGTATTGTTATAAAAAGTAAATTGTTTGAACATATGAGTGTCCTTGAATTGTTAAAACATGAGACTACAAAGGACCATCCTGAAGTCCAGCCCGCTTGTGGTGGAAATGGCAAGTGGGGTAAAAGAGCCCATTTTGGATAAATTGGAGCTCGTGGCTGTAGAATTTTTACATGAATGAATCCTTACATTCGGAACACTGCATACCAGTGTTCTTCTTTAAAGAAAACTACAACAGTTTGCTTAGCCCCATATTCTGAAAGTTCAAAAAGCTGAAAGTCCTGCTCACTGTAAGAAGTGAAATGTATTTGAAAATAGCTTTAAATCACAACTGGCATTGACTTTAACAAGGGATGGCAGTCTTGCTAAAGTGTTATAATTTGGTATCACTGGCAGTATGAGAACCCCGTGTCAGAATAGAAGTGAATTCCCATTCTGCTCTACTACTACTTTAACAATCCAAAGAAGCTCAAATGTTTACACAAAGTTTACTTTTTTTAAACAATAAACCAACATTCAAGCTGGATAGCAACTTGAGAGAGGAATCTTGGTGATCTATAAGCTTAAAGAAATGTGTTCCATTCCAAGGATGGGTTCAATTTGTTCTATTGTACTTTAAGGAAGCCTTGATAAACAATTTATGATGTGTTTTGGGAATATATTTTGTGTAATGACCTTATATTTTAGGTGCTCAAATATCAGGTGATGGGTGCAGTGTAAATACCCAGAAAGAGATTTAATTAGGTAAATTCTAAAAAGGGACTATTCTAATTTTCAATTTGGAGCTAAAGCACTAGAGGATATATGGCGTATAGGGATAATATTAAAGAACTCTTAGTGATACTCCAAAATTTATTTTTAAAAGATGCTTTAGGAGAGTAACTTTGTTGCCAAGAGATTAAGTAGAAATTTTCTTCTAAATTTCAGGTATCTTGTATTTTTTTGTCCACATGACATAGTCTATCGATGCTTTTCCTTTCTGCCTCTTCGACTGATGATTGCAGGGATGAAAGAAGTGACTAGGACTTGGAAAATAACAGCTGGAGTTGCACATGCAAACAGCCACTACAAAAATGCCTGGCTTATCATGGTGGCTGTTGGCTGGGCCAGAGGTAATGTGTAAAATCTCTTGTTTTGTTGAACTGTGAAGTTTTAAAGTGGTATTTAAATTGTGAACCATGTGGTCTTAGCAATAACACCATGATCTACCATGTGGGAATGGTACCCTTAAATTCAAACTGTTGTCCCTCATGGAGGGAAAGCCTGTGTGTCTGTGCAGCAATTTCTCTGGTCAGATGAGGGATGGCATTGACTGGCTTTGGAGGGAACCATGCCTAGCCCTTAGGAGGAAAGATGCCTGTCCTCATTTTAAGGATCTTCAGGATTTGGTGGCTGATGGCAAAAGGAATCAACAAGGCTATATATAACTTGATCATTATAATCATAAACCTTTCAATGTAACTGTTCTTACAGAAGTTACACTTCTATATAGCAGGACTGTTACTTTTCTAATTTTTTTGTATGTCCCAATACTTTAATCAGATTGAACACACTAGAGGCATTTTATCTCATCTAATCGAGTTGTCTCCTAAATTAAATAACTACCACATAGTATATCTAGAAATGTATTGTACACTTCAGAGCAGCAGTGTTTGCTTTACTCTTGTACTTTATATCTCACTACAGTAGAGAGACCACTGGCTCAACTCTGGCTTTATTCTTTTAGCTCTGCATTGTAGTTTATTTCCACTCTGCTTGGGAGCCCACAGACACGTTAACAAAAGTAATTCTAACTTGTGTTGGATTTGTTATAGTGTTTACTGAATAGATAGAGTGCCACATTCTTCTTATGCCTTATTTCCTCTACATGCACGCGCACACATACTTCTCGTAATCTTTGATTATTTTCCCTATAATGGAAATCTTCTAGATTTTGTATTGGGATGTGTGCACGCATGCTTGCTCTCTCCCCCATATTTGTATGCCTATATATAAATTGCCATCTATGATCCTGGAAGAAAATGGATTTTCATAAGAATGGCCATAATGGGTCAGACCAGTGGTCCTTCTAGCCCAATGTCCTGTCTTCTGACAGTGTCCAATGCCAGATGCTTCAGAGGCAATGAACAGGGCAATTTAGTGACTGCTCCATCCCTTATTATCCACTCCCAGCATCTGGCAGCTAGAGGCTTAAAACACTCAGAGCATGGGGTTTCATCCTTGACCATTTTGGCTAATATCCATAGATGGACCTATCCTCAGTGAACTTACCTAATTCTTTTTTGAACCCAGTTACAGTTTTGGCCTTCACAATATCCCCTGGCAACAAGTTCCAAAGCTTGACTGTGCGTTGTGTGAAGTAGAACTTCCTTTTGTTTGTTTTTAAACCTGCTGCCTATTAATTTCATTGGGTGACCCCTGGTTCTTGTGTTATGTGAAGGGGTAAATAACACTTCCTTATTCACTTTCTCTACACCGGTCACGATTTTATAGACCTCTATCATATCCCCCCGCCTTAGTCATCTCTTTTCCATGCTGAAAAGTCTTATTAATCTCTCCTTATATGGAAGTTGTTCCATACCCTTAATTTTTGTTGCCCTTCTCTGTACCTATTCCAATTCTGATATATCTTTTTTTGAGGTGGGGTGACCAGAACTGCACACAGTATTCAAGGTTTAGCATACCATGGATTTATATAGTGTCATTATGATATTTTCTGTCATCTTATGTATCCCTTTCTTAATGGTTCCTAACATTCCATGAGCTTTTTTGAGTGCCGCTGCACATTGAGCAGATGTTTTCAAAGAACTATCTACAAAGACTCCAGGATCTCTTTCTTAGTGCTAACAACTAATTTAGACCCTATCATTTTGTATGTATAGTTGGGATTATGTTTTCCATCACGCATTACTTTGCATTTATCAACATTGAATTTCATCTGCCATTTTGTTGCCCAGTCACCCAGTTTTGTGAGAACCTTTTGTAACTATTTGCAGTCTGTTTTGGACTTACAAAATTACTCAAGGTAGTTAGCATCTGCAAATTTTGCCACCTCCCTGTTTACGCCTTTTTTCCAGATAATTTGTGAATACGTTGAATAGCACTGGGCCCAGTACAGACCCTTGGGGGATCCCACTATTTACCTCTCTCCATTCTGAAAACTAGCCATTTATTCCTTTCCTTTGTTTCCTGTCTTTTAACCAGTTACTAATCCATGACAGGACCGTCCCTCTTATCCCATGACTGCTTACTTTGCTTAAGAGTCTTTGGTGAGGGGCCTTGTCAAAGACTTTCTGAAAGTCCAATGACCCCTTCAAAACTTCTAATAGAGTAGTGTGAGGCATGATTTCCCTTTACAAAAGCCATGTTGACTCTTCCCTAACAAATTGTGTTCATCTATGTGTCTGGTAATTCTGCTCTTTACTATAGTTTCAAGCAGTTTGCCTGGTACTGAAGTTAGGCTTACTAGCTTGTAATTGCCAGGATTACTTCTGGAACCTTTTTTTAAAAATTGGCGTCACATTAGCTATCCTCCAGCCATCTGGTACGGAAGCTGTTTTAAGTGATAGCTTATGTACCACAGTTAGTAGCTCTGCAATTTCACATTTGAGTTCCTTCAGAACTATTGAGTAAATACCATCTGGTCCTGGTGACTTATTAGTGTTTAATTTTCAGTTTGGTCCAAAACCACCTCTATAGATACCTCAGTCTGGGACAGTTCCTCAGATCGGTCACCTACAAAGAAAAGCTTGAGTGTGGGAATCTCCCACACATCCTCTGCAGTGAAGACCGATGCAAAGAATTCATGTAGCTTCTCTGTAATGGTCTTGTCATCCTTTAGCTCCTCGATCATCCAATGGCTTCACTGATTGATTGTTTGGCAGTCTTCTTGCTTCTGATGTTCTTACAAAAACTAACAGCAAAAAATATTTTATCTTTTGCTAGTAGCTCTTCAAAATTTTTTTTGGCCTGCCTAATTATACTTCCACACTTGATTTGCTAGACTTTATGCTCATTTCTATTTTCCTCAGTAGGATTTGACTTCCAGTTTTTAAAGGATGTCTTTTTGCCTCTAATCTCTTTTACTCTGTTTAGCCATAATGGAACTTTTTTGGTCACCTTACTATATTTTTTAATTAGGGGTTTCCATGCAGCTTGCAGGCATTTTGCTCTTGCGAATGTACCTTTTAATTTCTGTGTAACTAGCTTCCTCATTTTTGTGTAGTTCCTCTTTCCCTTGAAGTTAAATACTACTGTAGTGGGCTTGTCTACACTCAGGGTGGATTTGATTTAAATCACTAGTCAGGAAGACTTGATTTAATCATGGAATTCTACATAAAAGTACATTCTTGTTGGTTGTTATAACCTTAATACATATTCTTCACAATTCGGAGATAGATGTAGGTTTCATTTTTAGAAGGTACACACTCTACATTTTTTAAGTGATTTATTTTGAAAACTTTTCAGATTAGTTTTACAGCTATATTAGAAAATGAATGATTGGCTATTTCCTTTATTAAAGGTAATTGAAGCAGATATTTGAGAGGTCATTGGGAGGTGAACTATCTCCAATTCAACAGGCTGATCATTAATATTTAGAGGATTTTCTTGCTATGCTGTATTAGGAGGAGAACATCACCAGACAGACATTTCAATTGTTTTATTTAACTAAATAACATTATTTAACTAAATAACATAACATTATTATGTATTCTGGATTTTAAAAAAAACAAAAACAAAAATTAAATAGACTGTCAGCCAGGTCAACATGAGAAACTTAAAATATTGGCTTCTGCAGCTAACTCAGTCGTCTTCACCTTCATTTTCCTGTTTGTTCATAATCTGGAAAAGAAAAACAAGCTTTCCTGCCTTTTCAGGTCCCAAACGATTTCTCAATTTGGAATGAATTAGTCCAAAGGAAAATATTCTTTCTACACCGGCAGAAGTAGCTACTGCTGTTAAATGTGAGATTATCACTTCATCAGTCTCTGAATCCAAGTGCTTAAGTGACTTCCACCAGTGAACTGGTGGGACTTTCTTTAAAATATCATCAGCAAACATATATTTCTTGAATGGTTCACCCTTAGCTCTGAAGTTAATTATAGTTGGCATTATGGAGGGATGATTGCTGGATGTCCATGTCATAGCCGCCAACTCTTCTTCAGCAGTTAAGGTTTGACCCTGGTCCCGAGCACTGAGAATATTTGCAAGAAAATGAGCTGGAGATAGTGCTTGTCCCATTCATTTTTTTTAATGCTTGTAATTTAACTCTGTCATTGCATATATCTCTTTTTAAGATCTCAGTCAGTTCCTTCCAAATTTCAACAGCGTCAGCAATAAAACAGCTATTTCCCTGCATTTTGTTCAAGGCTACAGAAATAGGCTTCAGGGTACTCAGCATGTGTTCAACATTTCTCTGAAGCCCAATGTTGAGAACTTTGGCTGTGACAGTGCCATCTACTTTTTCACCATTTTGTTCACAAACTGTCATCAGATTAGGCCAGTTCTTGATATAGTGCCCAAAACAGTCCACTACTGAGTTCCATGGCACGTCTTGTGGGAGAGTTAGCTTGGTTCCTCCCACTTTTTTCAGAGCAGTTGCTGCAAAGTGTTTGTTACGGAAGTATTTTGCAATTTCAACAGCATTAGCCTTTATTTCTGGAACACTGAAGTCTTTGGCTAGGAGGTGCATCAAATGAGCACTGCGACCATATGTTGTTAGCTTGGGGCTCTCTTCTAAATAATTTCTTCTCCTCTTGGATACGTTTGCAGCATTGTCTGTGACCAAGCTGCATACTAGACATTTACAGTGTGTTATAGCTTTTACTGCTACTTCTTATAAGTATTCTGCTGTGTGCGCATTTCCTGATGTATCAATTGTTTCTGTAAGGAAGATCTTACCTTCTTTTGTTGTCACACAAGCACATACAACAGGACCATTGTGGACATTGCTCCACCCATCAAGACTCAGGTTAACAATTTTACGCTCTAGACCTTTTGCACACTGCTCAATTTCTCTTTCATACACTTTATCCAGCAATTTGCCTGTGACATCTGCTCTGTTGGGTGGACTGTATCCTGGTCTTAATGACTGAACCATGTTAATGAAGTGTGGGTTCTCAGTCCTACAGAAAGGAGAGTTTGTTGCATAAACAAACCAGGCAATTTTTTCATCTTTTTGTAATCTGCTGGTTCTTATCACAAACTTATCTACGGTTGTTTCTGGATGATGATTTTTTTTTTTTCTTTTTGCTACAGGTGATATACTGTGGCTATGTGACATACATGATGTGACTGAAACACTATCATTGGCAGATAACTCTGAAACTCTAGAAAATGATGGTGATCTTGAAGGTGGATAGTCTTCAGAGTCCTGTATGTTGAGGATGGATTGTCCTAAACAAAATAAGTCAATGCAGTTATTTAATTATTATTACCATACTGCTCATTTAGTATTACTCATTGCATTCACTGGCAGTACTACTTTAAAGGAAGATATGCCTATTTCAGCTATTTATTTTTTATCACAACTGCATCTAAAATGATAGTACCCTAGAGTAACTACTATGTTTTTTGCTCAAACATGAGAATTCAAGAATAGTCCAGAAGGAAGACAGGCAGTCCTTAAGAAGGAAGTATGGAAAAAAAAAAAAAAAAAAAGTTTACCAGCCTAAGGATCGTGCATGTTCAGACATGTTCCTTTCATCATCTTCGACCCAGCTTCCTCCTGAGAAGGAACACTTCTCACGATGTTGTTTCATTCCGGCAACCAGGCCTTGCATTTCTTTGTTGCACTGTTTGCATTTTGTACGCATGCCTGTCTTACCCACAGGTAGAGGAACTTCATTAAAATATTCCCAAACTGGGTCTCTTATGGCCTGCTGCCGTTATAGGTTTTCCCTTCTAGTGAGAGAATGGTATAGTAGATCTCAAATCAATGAAGGCTACACTCAGAAAGATCTCAAGACTTCTGGAATACAGTAACTCCCCATTTAATGTCCTCTCGCTTAAAGTTGTTTCGATCTTGCGTCCCTGCTCAATTACAGAACATGCTCCATTTAAAGTTGTGCAATGCTTCGCTATAACATCGTTTGGCTGCCTGCTTTGTCCACAGCTGGCAGTCCCCCATCAGCTCCCCTTTGCCCCTCCCACCCACCGGCAGACCCCGCGGATCAGCGCCTGCCTCCTGCCCGTGGCAATCAGCTGGCTTGCGGTGTTCAGGAGGGGGGGGGGGAGGAGCGAGGACTCAGCGCGTAGGCTCCCTCTCCCTCCTCTGCCTCCTGAACACGCAAACCAGCTGATTGCTGTGGGCAGGGGATTAGGGGGGAGGGGGAGGAGTGAGGACACAGCGTGCAGAGTAAAGGGGGAGGGGGGAAGAAGAGGCGGGTTAAGGGTGGGGGCTTGGGGGAAGGGGTGGCGTGGGCAGGCCCCCCCCGCCCCTGGTGCTTGCAGAGTAGGGGAAGCTGCCGCTGCTGCGCAACGTGCTTCTCCTAGCCTACAACACCTTCAGCCTCCTTGCCTGCCTTATTGTCTGCAGTGCCAGTGGGCTGTGCCTGTGTGGGGCACCTCCCAACCACAGTACTGTACTGTATGGCAAAAAAAAATTTCCCTGGAACCTGACCCCCCATTTACATCCATTCTTATGGGGAAATTGGATTCGCTTAATATGGTTTTACTTAAAGTTGCATTTTTCAGGAACATAACTACAACTTTAAGTGAGGAGTTACTGTATGCTGCTCAAACAGTTTCACTTTTGTTTCTACTGCCTGTCCCTCCCTTCTCACATTTATCTCCAGACTTCTTCTCCTTGTCCAGATCTATTCCGCCCCCAACAATCTTCTATTCATTGAACTTTTTGAAACTTTTCACTTTTAGAGAGAGGTAAGGAATTGACTCTGTGTACACAAATTTGCAGAGGGACAATAGGGTTGAGGTCTGTTATTTCTCACCTCTGTATATTTATTTATTTATTTATTTTTAAAAAAAAACATTTTTGCTGTTAACAAGCATGTTATCTCTGGAGACAAATCCACAGTTTGAGAACTGCAAAACTAAGCATCTCTGATGGTATATTCTAGTCTGAGCACTGAGTCCCGTTGGGTAGATAGAAAGATTAGCCTAAATAATCTATACAGAAGCCCCTGGAACCCCATAAGATTGGGTCCCTAATCCATGAACTATTGGAACTCATTTACAAAACTTTTCTTAAACATTACATGAATACTGTCTCATATTATAGAATTAGAATTTATAATCCCTATTCCATGATGAGATATCTTTGAGCTATAATGTATCTTAATTAAAACTATCTTTTAGATAGGTTTTTCCTCAACAAGCATTTTATCAAAAAAATCATATATATATAATTTTTAAATAGTTTTTTATCCACCTTGTCTACACTACACAGCTTTTAGCGACATGGCTGTGTCTCTCCTGCCAACAACGCACTGTTCACACTGACACTTGTCTCAGCAAAACTTTTGTCTTTTGGGGGAGGGACGGGTGTTTAACGCCTCTGAAAGACAAAAGTTTTGTCATTCAATTGCCAGTGTAGACATGGCCTTAGTCACTAAGAGACCATACCACTGAGACATGTTATAATTTATTGGATTTTCAGGAGCTGGTGGTGGCTTAATCTCTAACTTTGAGCAGTTGGTGAGAGGTGTTTGGAAACCTGAAAGCAATGAACTTCTGAAGATGTCCTAGTAAGTTTGTGTAAACCATAGTACAACTGGAATCATTGTAATAACTTTGTTCTCTTTGGCTCTTGCATTCAAAGACCTACATGAGTAATTTTCTTGGTGCAGCATTTAAAAACAGGTGCTAGTAGACTGCTTATAAATTCAAAGTAAGTGGGTCCAAATCTTTACTATGTGTTGGCTGGCCTGACCTATGTGCAATGAGTTGTTAGTCTCAAATGATTTCCTCATGAATAATTGTCTCCACTACAAAATTACCACAGAATTGGAACTAACTGGTAAACATGTTGGCTACTTGTGCAGAGAGGACAATCATTTGAATGGGCAAGAAAAATTAACCTCCTCTTCCAGACCTGTGGTTCATCCAACTCAGAAATGAAGCACATTGTGGCAGGGTAATGTGAGTGTCACTTACAGTCCAGCATGTGCTGGTACGTATTCTGAAGGTAGTTGGATGACTTTAGGACTGCCAGTCTAGTGGATATATTCCACCAACGCTAAATACCTTATTTAAAAAAAAAACAAAAATAACAAACAAAAAACCCAGTTGCACTCTTCTGAACACACTTTCAAGCCATCTGTTAAATATATAGCATTAAAACACGTCAACACATGCCTCTGGTGCATTGCAAGATAGAAGACGCTACTTGAGTTTCAGCTTTCAGTTTTGTCTCGCAGAAGCTAAATTGGGAGTGTTACATAGCACCCAGTTTAGCTTCTGCAAAAGAGAGAGAATTGGAACTGGCTGGCAGGCCACAAAATACTGCTGTAAAGGGAGACAAGCTCATAGGGGATTTAAAAGGTCCACTTTGCCCTCCCATGTGACTTCCCAGCTGGTTTCTGTGGAAATGATTATTTCAAAAACAGGGTTATGACTTTTGAGGAGAGAAACATTTAGGGATGCTGTTTTCATGTAACTGTCCTGGGTAATAAAGAATGACAGAAGAGAAATACAAAAATTATGAGCAGCACTATTTCCAAAAGGAAGGATTGTGAGGCTTATGGTGTCAGCTGCACCTGAATACTTCAAACTTAGTGAAATAAGTAATTTATGCTAGTTTAAAACACTGCAGTCACTTTCTTCTTTAAAAAATGCTAGCTGAAGGAAGAATGAGTTTTAAATGTTAAAAATTGTGGTATTTCATCTAGTCTTATGAAGGATAAAAGCTGAGATTGCAATATGCCAGAACAAAGGTGTTGGACACAGATCACTGTCCTCACATCCTGAAATTATTTTGGTTAAAAATTCCCTTGACAATTTTTTTTTCTCAAATGTTCTCCTTTGGTTGTAAAGCTAAATGCATGAATCTAATTAAAGGTGTGATAAGAAATGAAACTTGATGAATCCCAAATCATAAGAATATAAATATACAAGTAGAGTTATACTACTGGCTTCCTGATCGGGGAAAGATACTGAGTGCACAAAGTTGAGGGTGAACAGAGGGAACTAAGTCTAATAAACAGTAACCATGGATGATTCCAGCCTCCTATCAAGTGGTCAAATGTCGCAGCGGTCTAAGATTTAGACAAGCAGTTTCTTGACACCTTAAATGCTTGGTTCTTAGAACAGCTTGTTCTAGAGCACACAATGAGGAGAGCTTATTCTTAACTCCGTCCCAAGTAACACGTAGGAGTTGACTGAAGTGATAGGTTAAGTTGAACCACTAAGTAATAGTAGCTACAGTAAAATTAAGCTGAAAATCCCCCGGGGGAAGAAAGTACCACAAAATGATTAGAGGCATGGAAAAACTTCCATAAGGAGACTGGGTGCAAATATTGGCAGAGTTTAGTTTAGAGGTGACTAATAAAGGGATATATCAGATATATAAATTAAATAATGGTATGGGGAAGGCAAATTGGGTGGAGTTCTTTAAATTCAGGAACAAAGATCTAAGAAATTGAAAGCGTGCAAACTAAAAACTGGTAGAAGTATTTTTTAACAAAACATGTAATTAGCCTGTGAAACATGTTGCCGTATTGTTACCACAAGCTTTTTATCATTTACTTTCAGCCGAGCAAATATTATAGTTATATTTTTGTATGCTAAAGTATGCTATTACTTTCCAGATCATAATTTCTATCAGCATAGGAGGGGGAGGAGAGAAAATTCACACACTTGTCTTTACTTTGTTTGGTTTCCAGCCCTGTAAAAGTGGCTCTGGTAGGTGCAGTACTCTTCACATTGCAACATGCCCAGAACCTACCGATAGCAAGACACAACCTTATGTTCTTTTATACCACCTTTCTAGTGGTCACAAAGGTAAGAATTTGGAAATGTATAATTATTTAAACATATGCAATACAGCAATATTTCTCACTGTACTTTCTAAAGCAAGATGCATGTTGTTGAATATTTCTCTTTATACCCCCCACCAGAGTACTAATTTCACTTTCTGGAGAGATCTGGTCAAACTCAATTGGTGAAAATGGCATAGCTTAATTGAAGTCAGTGGAGCTACCCCAATACCAGTGGAAGATCTGACCCCCATGAGCCTTAAGTAACTCTTCCATATGTGAAGCAGACCGACGGGAAACTCTGCATCATGACCTTTGCTAAGTTGTATTAAAAGAATATTTCAGAAATTTGGCACAGGGAGTTGATATTTCAAGTTACTAAATTATTTGAGAGAGAGACAATTAAGAGACAACAGGTTGTCTTGCCAACCTGTTAATACATGTGGAGCAAAAATGAACTGCAGCCAAAGGCCAAGTGTTTCTAGTCACCGAATACGTTTATAAGTGACTAGAACATGCTCTGTTTGTCTTCATGCTGTTTTTTAAAAGTTTGTGGTTTTGGACACATCTTTCAACTATATAGAAAATAATGGTGAAGGAGAAGAGAAAAATGTGAAAAGTGTTTACTATCACTTTGTTTATAAAAAGTGTGGATATGTATATCCATACACATGCATGTGTACACATGCGAGATATATGCACATTATTGTTCCCTTTAATCTTCTTATGATTGAACTCTAAACTATCCCATTCTGCATTTATCTCCTTCCGGAAAGCTGGGCTATATTCAGGACTGTGTTAACCCTAAAAAAGGCAAAGTTGGAATCTCAGTATCCTCTGATCTGTAACAATCTTGAAGGTTGCCACTCTGTTCTTGAGGAGATGTTAAAAAATGGGTGAACTATGGAGGAGGGTTTAAAAAGAACTGCCTGCCTTCCCCAGGGCATCCCTAGAAACATTGTTTCTAAAATCTGACTGAGATATTGGGTCTCCTGGGTGCTACAGCAATGCAAGGAATCCTTATCATTACTGCCCTAGACTTACCTTTTCTTAAAACATCTAAACATCAGAGACACTCAGGATACCAGGGATGTGGTGTTAGGAGATAGGTGTGGGGGAGGAGGGTCTGCAGCCTCAGACTCCCTGTGCTGCTGAAGCCCGTAGTACAGTGGCACACAACTTTGTGGCACCAGTTCTGCACTGGTGACTTGTTAGGACCTTGAAGTCAGCTAGTAACTGTCATGCACTGCTAGATTGACACAGTTCATGCAAGTCTGACACAGACTTATGAAGTAGTGTCTTGCTTTCCAGACACTTCTGAAACCTCTCTCAGAATCAGGGTATTACTCTAGTCTTTAGTGTTGGGTTATAAATACCATATTGGATCTATTAAGCAGGTCCTTTTCCCCTTAGTCCTGGAGGAAGTTCTCCCAATAAGTTTGTTTTAACATGGGAGTTTTTTTAAGGATACTTGCTACCTAAATCAGTGATGTCCAACCTTTACTGCTTGGGGACAATTGAAGGTCAAGGGGCCACAAACAACACTCTGGGGCAGATTCTTTCTTTCCTCCCATCTTTACGATCCGCTCAAGTAGTGCAAAGGGAGTGGAATTCAGCCACAGGCCCCCTCTGGGGATTTACCCCAGTGCCTGGAGTCTTCAGTGGTGTAGAACCAGCGTAGCCTCACTCCCCACAGCCTCTGGCACGGTGGCAGTGTTGGGAGCAGGAAGGGGAGGAATGGCTGAACCTTAGGATGAAAACTACAACCAGGAACTAATATTCGTGCTGGAACAAATATGTATGAAGAGTTTGTATTAGCATTTAAAAATCGTATTAGTTAAGATGGTAATTATTTGCCAATTAGCACAAAACATGACTAAGAATTCAAGTCTAGACAAGGCCCTAGAGTATTTTACAGTAACTTTATTGCTTTGTTTTATACGTCACTTTTTTAAAGATACTTTATTTCAGTGGTCAAGATAAATTTGATAAATCTACAGAGAGCTTCTGTTTCATCTTTCTCATTGGCTTACTCTTCATGCATTTATTAAGCTTACTTTATTTTCTGTGTACACACTTAGGTTTATTTGTTGTATTTCAGTCTAAGTTGAAATAAAATCATAGGACTGGAAGGGACCTCGAGATATCATCTAGTCCAGTCTCCTGCACTCATGACAGGACTAAGTATTATCTAGATTAGGGGTGGGCAAATTTTTTGGCCTGAGGGCCATGAATGTAGGGCTGGGGCAGGGGGTTGGGATGTGGGAGGGGGTGCGGTGTGCAGGAAGGGGCTCAGGGCAAGGGGGTTGGGGTGCAGGAGGGGGCTCAGAGCAGGGGGTTGGGGTGCAGTGGGGGTTCAGGGCAGGGGGTTGGGTGTAGGAGGAGTGTGGCAGGGAATTGGGGTGCAGGAGAGGTGCAGGGTGCGGCAGGGGGCTCAGGGCAGGGGGTTGGGGTGCAGGAGCAGTGCAGGGTGCAGCAGGGGACTCAGGGCAGGGGGTTGGGGTGCAGGAGTGGGCTCCAACCTAAACTGCCTTGCTGCAATTTAAGCCCATTGCTTCTTGTCCTATCCTCAAAGGTTAAGGAGAACAATTTATCTCCCTCCTCCTTGTAACAACGTTTGATGTATTTGAAAACTGTTATGTCCCCTCTCAGTCTTCTCTTCTCTAGACTAAACAAACCCAATTTTTTCAATCTTCTCTCGTAGGTCATGTTTTGTAGACCTGTAATAACTTAAGTTGTTCTTCTCTGGACTTTCTCCAGTTTGTCCACATCTTTTCTGAAATAAGGTGCCCAGAACTGGACACAATACTCCACTGCGCTGATTAGGCCTCAACTGTAGAGCGGAAGAATTACTTCTCCTGTCTTGCTTACAACACTCCTGCTAATACATCCCAGAATGATGTTTGCTTTTTTTGCAACAGTGTTACACTTTAGGATTGTTTACTTCTATTTTTAGTTGAAATGCAGTTATTTTGGACAAAGATTTGCACCAGAGGCTAGAAATGCCCTAGATTTATAACATGTAAAATACAACACTGTCTTCAAATTAGGGATATATGGAATTCAGAGTGCTGAAAGCTTAGAGATGGTCTACATAAACTTGCACCAAAATAACTAAATAAGTTTCATTTATATCTTTTATTTCAGTGCAGGTCTGTGTGATTTAGCAGATGAGAGTTTAATGTAAAATTGAAATAGGATGCTTCTGTTAGAGGAGTGTCCACATGCAGACTTGTGCTGAAATAACAAGTGTGAATTAAAACTGGTTTAGGTATTTCAGTGCGTGCTTTTTGTATGCAGACCAGCCCATATGTGCTGATTCTTCTTCTTAAACCGTCTTTTTATTTGGAGAGCTAAGGCTTTCTAACTTAAATTTGACCACTTTCTTTATAGGTAACCATGATGTTGACACAATCTGCAGTTTCTCCATTTGCTCCTTTCGAGTCTGTACTGGGCCGTATGCTCTTTGGTTGGCAACAAACTCCATCTAAAGTAAAGGCTGAGGCCAGAGTATCTTCCAACGGAACCTCTTCAGTCTGTGACCGTTCTGCTGGAGAGGCCAGTGAAAGCATTAAGAAAAGACAGGCAAAGAAAACAGAATAAGTGGCCAAAAAAAGATCTTGTTACATGTGGCCGTAACACTTTAAAACATTTCTATTTCAAATGATGGGAAAAAGAAAATAGTATGTAAGGAAATACATGTGACAGACTGGCAGCAGTGATGAGTTTTGTGTACTACTGTAATGTAGTTAGCCTTTAAAGTATATTTTGTAAATTGTAATTCAAATGCTGGGAATGTGTATCATGTTAGACGTTTCTAACTTACATGGTACTAAAAAAGAGATTTTATAGTGATGATGATTTTATTAAGTGAGAGATTTATTGTGATTTTGTTTTTATATTTATGAAAAACTAACTTTTAAATGTAAAAAACAAACAAACCCTGAAGTTAGTAACAAAATGAGACAATCAGATTTGACTATTTTTCCTTTTTCTTTATCATTTATTTTTGCTTATATTTTCTGTTTTGATTCTTGTTTTTCAGCTGAATAAAGTGGATAGTTATACACAGTAGCATATTCCAAGGTATGAAAGGCTCTTGTAGTCTTGTTCAATTGAGCAATGGAGTTAGAGTAAAATTTTTACCAAACGTTCACATTATGTGAATAAAAAATTAACACTGTAAATAGTTTGCACGGCAAAAACTGGAAATGTGCCAAAAACAAGGCCTTTGTTCTCTAGAAAAATATCTGAATTACTACTATAATTCATGTTGCACTGATCTTGATTCTGCTTAGTCACAAACTAGAGAATATTTTTCATTTTCTACTTTCCAGAATAAGAGTAAATTCTCTTGCACTTTTAAAAAAAAAAAGATTATAGTTAGCAAATAGAAAATTTTCAGTACTAACATTTATCCAGCTAACCCACTTTGATACTGTCAATTGAAAACTTTTGATTTATATGTTTGCTGTTCTGTAGACAGTAAATCAGACAGTAACATAATATTACTGTTATTAAATTGCTAATGTTCATTTGTATTGAAGCACATGACTTTTAGTATTTCTTCCATTTTCATTTCGCTGTGACTGGATGTGTTCTAGCATGGCATCTTATCCCAAATATCTAACATCTTCTCCTGCTTTCTAAAGTAGACCGTCATTGTGAAAGGAACTCAGAGAATTACATGTTGCAAGTAATACCCATTTTCCCAACCCAAAATGTTTATCACCTTAACTTTCTCCCTGATTGTAGGATAAATACATGTATTTTACTTCCTCCCCCACACTCACCTTTTCTGCACTAGTGTTTTTATTAAAATCTCCCATCATTTTGCTACTACCGGTTAAGCTGCACCAATGGTAGCAATGGCAATAGCATTGGTGCAAAAACTGTGTTCATACCTCTGTCATTTAACCCTGTTTAGATTAGGGTCATATGATGTGGTAATAAAGATACTTGTGCCCTGTCTATTCCACCACTTATGCTGGTACTAGCATTGGTGGAGCAGTTACTTGCTGGTGGTAATGAGTAAGAGTACTTCTAGTGTAAGATGCACCATAATTGTCCATCAGCTTTTGCTGAAATGCCTCTTCCTGTTCCTTGCACACCAGTTTGGGAACTCATTTCTAGCCGCTATTATCTTAGTGAAAGTCTCTCAATTTTAGAAGATGTAATTTTAGAAGAGGAAGTTTCAGAGATGTTGCATTTTGTGAGTGGTATCTTTCATTTGGCCTGTCATTCATTTTGTCGTCAAAACTATTTTCTTCTGTTTCTTGTGTCAACAAGCCTAACTTTGAAGCATTTCTGTAGCTAAATTAAACCAGTTACCTCCATGTGAAAATGGCAAGGGGGAGAGAAAATGTACATTTCTCCTCAGACTGCAGTTCAACTCTGAAAAATGATTGTGGGCAAACAGTTATCCAAGTAGCTCAGGGGTCATATCTAAAATCTGAAAATGAAATTCCAGTTGCAAGGTACATTTCTGAATTTGAGAATCTGAGTTCAGGTATATACAAATGTGGCACCTTATTCAACAAAGCTTTTCTTTCTGTGTATTCATAGTCAGATATACTCATTCTTGTAGCCAAAAATTTTTTTTACTGCTTTTTCTTCCTGTTAGTCCCAGCCAACATAGCTGAGAGAGAATGCTAAATCTATTTGATGTATTTGCAGGGTTGGCAGCTAGAAAAAACCTCTTCACCTATGCACTGAGAACCTCTGATATGGAAATAAAGAGGCAGATAGAATTCCATGATGCTACTTCAAGTCTTTTAGATAAGAATCCAACTTTATAGTAAACCTTAGATTTTAGGCAGTGTCCAAGTATCTGGCCAGGTATTTCAGGTCTCGTTAACTAAAACAACAACCTACTTCAACATGGAAACAAATTCATGAAATCCAGCTCATCATTGAGCAAAAGTCTTATGAGTCTAGTGCCTAAAGGACAAAATAATGTCAGATTCTTGACTTATAACCTTGGGGCTCAGTTTGTTTTCCAGTAATAAGTGGTAGAAGTGTTGAATCGCCTCATACCAGCATATTAAATACCCATATGATTTTAGGTTATAAAGGGGTATTTGGATGCCATTAAAAGTAACTACTAATTACCTGGTTAACAGGGAGCTAAAAATGAGACACCAGTAACTGCAGTACTTCCTGCACATGTAAAACTTTCAGGTAACTCGTAAGTCCCTAAGAGGTGTATTAAGATTGCGAACAAGTGTTCGAATACTTCATAGTACTACCCTTGGTACATTGGGTATGAGACGCTTTTTCCCCCCAGGTAACTATTGTACTACTGTGAAATACTGGCCAATATCACTATTTTTAGCCCAAATGGCTATGTGAAAATATGTTTAGAATTACTTTGTTTACAATAATTTGAAACAGAAAATGGGGTGTGTTATATTCAGTGTGGATTTATAAAAATTACATTATTAATAAAATAAGTGGAAACAGTTTTTTCCTGATTATCTTATTTAGATGTTTTAGACAAATATAAGAACATAAAATCCAAAGCCTGTAATGTTACTTTCAAATAGAAATACGTTTTTCAAAAAGATTATACTGTAATAAATTGCGTTCCCATTCCAGAGGAACTTTGAAACCTCTTCATATTAAAATACTTCAGAGAATGATCTTGCGGGACAGATTTCTAAAAGAACTCAGCATACAACAGCTTCCATTCCACCTACATGACAATCTGGCCACTCCAAAAATGCCCAATATCCAGCAGCTCCCATTGTTCTCAGGTTCTGGATGCTGAGCACGCCTGAAAAATCTGACCCTTGCTGTGAAAACTGAGAATATTGAATAACAAGACACAATTTTTACAGTTTCTTGGAAGAACTTATATCAGAGCTACAGCAGCAGAACATACATTATTCCTACACTCAAGATTTTTTTCCACGTCAGCTCTGGTTTTTAATGTAAAAAGGTGTCTATCTGCACGTCCTTCAGTTTACTGATCATCTGTTTCATTCATTAATCTTTCAGATCTCGATCTTCTTGTGTCGTAGTCAAGTAACTTTTACAACAGCCCTGGAAAAGTTAATTTGGGGATACTTTGCATTATAAATACTCAACCAAATCCCATCCTCCTTAGATGTGGATTGGTTCAGGTAAATATCCCCTTCTCTAGCTATCATCCCTAACATACCTTTGCTAAATTCTTCTTTGCAAGATCAGACAGTGTATTCAATGTAATTGCTGTGCTGGCTAGATACAGGATAAAGTATTCTTGATTAACCAGATCCAGCACAAGTGCCATATATGAATTACTTCCTGTCTTTCATTTGTCAGATTGTTTCCTTAAATGTATCTTTTGCTAATACAAACTAAGGCTCTGATCTACTTGGGAGCCCCCCTGACTTCTGAGGTTCTGTGGGGGCAGAGGGATCTGCCTGCATGGATCAGATTACAGAATCAAGGCCTAAATTGACAATAGAAGAAAGTTATAGAGTAATATCAAGGCATGGGTGAAGTGATTCACCTAAACATAACAAAACAGAACCATTGTTCAAAACTTAGACCCAAATACTTTTTTGAAGATTATAAATTTTTCCTTTTTGTACTCTTTCCAGTACTACTAAGTTTTTGGATTGAAGTGGAAATTAATGAAAGCCCACAGCTGCTGTTCTTTCTAATTTGGCTAAAACCAGAAACTAGTGGGAATAGTATATATGTGATCTCTCAAGAATTCCAGCCTCTGTTACCAGGTTAAGTAGGTCTGAATAATCTAGTTTCTGCGTCTGACGAAGTGGGTATTCACCCACAACAGCTTATGCTCCAATACGTCTGTTAGTCTATAAGGTGCCACAGGACTCTTTGTCGCTTTTTACAGATCCAGACTAACACGGCTACCCCTCTGGTACTCATCACTGTGATACATAAATAGAACCCCTGAGTCTTGCCCATTACTAATACCTAAATACAAATTCAAGATTTATGAACAACAATTGAAGCTGGAGAGTAAAATAAATCCCTCTGACTAGATTCTAAACAAACCAAACAAATGGCCACCAGCAAAAGTAGCATTTAATAGCATAACAACAATCAGAAAATGTGATGTAAAACAAAATGCTTGGAATTATTTGTGTTAATAAAATGGCCACTACATACAGGCAAAGGCCTTTATTGCAAGCCTACCCACAGCAAGGACAAGGAAACACCCATCAAAAGGGTAAACACCCATCATGAGGGTAAATTGTTTAAAGTGGTGTACAGAAGGAACACACAAATATTCTCAAGAATAGTATGTTGCCACTCCTGTATTCTGCTTTGAAAATGGATCTTGTGGCTTTTGTGAACACTAATATATTAGAAGAATGTAGTCTGTATAGAACAGCATATCAGAAAGACAACCAGCATCCTAACCTAGCTCTCTGCTTCCACCAAGTCTAATGTGTTCACAGCTTCTTTGGAGAGACCAGCAGATAAGCCGCCAATCTTGCAAAGAAAGTCAAGACTGTTTGCTTGAGGGAATCACGAATTCAGAGAATGTTCTATGGTCAGAGAAGCAGTTCATTAAATCATAAACCTAACAATTACTTATACTGGAATTCTTAATATTGGAACCCCAATTCCAGTGGCACTTGGTACTTTTAAAAGGCTTCCAAAAATGAAATAGTGCATAGATTTTCACGGGAGTTGGTTGAAAATCAGGTAAGTAACTGGGAAGAATTTACCACCATGAGATGGTGCGCTGTGGTACATTTTGTCAATCAAAGAGAATTTCTTTGTAAAAAGGCCAAATTTTGTCCAAGATGCTGGTGGAACTCCTATTTGATATGTATGGTCCCCATCCCTATAGTATCTATGTGCCTTCCAAGTATTTTAAAAATAGAAATAATCTTCCTTCTCAGGTTGTGGAAATCATTAGTTTGGTCAACAGGGTTCTTGTTTGCTTGTGAGAAGGAAATATTGAGGGAAGCCAAATCCAAGGAGTTTTGCATTTCTTCTGAAAGCATTTAGTTTCATGGTTGCTCTCATTTCCTGCTGAAGTGAGTTCCATAGTCTAGCTCCTGCTCCTGCAAGAGCTTTACCTTCTGAATTTACAAGCCTCCCCTTATTGGCCATTAGTTCAATTGTTCCAGTGGAAGATTGGTTGCAAGTGGAAGGGTTTTCTTACGTAGCTAGGTTCTATCCTGTGAAAGACTTTGAACAGCAGAGGAGAGACCTTGAACTGGTATTCAGATGTCAAGCCAATGACTAGAAGAAAGTTCTGAGGTGATGTATTCTCACAGACTAGTGTTGCTGAACAGATGGGCTGCTGTGTTTTGTACTAGCTTTCAGGCTGTGTGGCTTCAATTTATTAGGATGGTATTTAATGTATTTTTAGTGCTCTCTAATGTGATGTAGCAGCTGGAAGTGAAGAGAGCCAGCACCACATGATCTGCCAGCTCACAGTGGACCCACCAAGAAGTGCTCCATGGGCCACAGTTTAGGAACCAGTGAATCCATCAGCAGATACCTGCAGAGTTTCATGCCCTTATGTGGGAAATGCATGAAGGCATAGCAGGTGATCCAATGACTTTTTAACCA